GATTTCCGCCTTACAAAACAAATGTGTTTTATAGCCTAAACACTCGATGTAACAAACGTCAAGTAAGGTTTTTTTCACATAGGGCCTAGCAAAACAATACGAGCCTTAGGAGTTGCGGACGGCTACGGAGTCCCAGTCGTGCCCGCATGTCCAAAGTGAAAACTGACACCAATGTTTTCCGGCGCCTCGTTGACGTCATGTGCACCCACATCATGGTGTGAGTTGTCACGGGTTTGATACAACTCTCGTCCGTGGTGACTGCCGGCCCAGTGCGAGGTGCCGCTCAAAAATGCTTAGCGTGTCTCACCGAAGATTCACCGACACCTCCAGCACATGGGTCTGCAACGTGTGGTTGCATTGGGCCTGTTTGGTGAAAGGCCTAATGAGACCAAACGCACTGTGCTTCGTGGTCTTGTAAACGTCCAGTTTTTTTTCAATGAGGGACTGATACGTGGGTTTAAAAATGAAATTGTAGATTTTATTTCATGGAGTTGTAATAGACCAGATCCGAAAACGCGTGACATTTAGGCCTTGCTTTTGAATAAAACTATTTAAAAAAACACCATCAAAATCAAAAGACTAGCTTAAAATGTGCTCGATTTGTAATTTGATACCAACGCATACAGCCTATCAAGCCATCGGTTCATCGCGTCAATAGCGTAGTTTGTTCCGCCTTCGTGATTGCTCCTTCGGCGGATTTGGTTGCTTTTCTTAACTCGTCCGCCTGCCAAGTCATCCGCGCACGAGGTCATCTCGTCAGGTGGCCGTCGAGGTCATCTTGCCCCACACAAGCACCAGCGCAATTGTCGGGGGCAGAAGACCGTCACAGTTGCCAGGCTGTCGGCACAGCGCAAACCTGTTATGCAACACCGTCTTCGGGTGGGGATCGTGGTTACCGTGGAAAAAGAAGGCGTTTCTTGTTTGTGCAGGAGACAAAGAGAACGGCAGTACAAGGCAGAAGCACCGAATGCATCGGCAGACGTCTTAGATGAAACCCGATGGTAGACGATCTTGCCTAAAACTGTAGGCATTTAAGACCTTGTTGCATTTAAGCTGGACATATCTGATTCCCAAAAAGCCGTGTTTTTTATTATCAGAAGTTGGTGCATAACTCATTAGACCACTGTTGTAGTCCGTCTCAACCAGAACTTGTTGGGGTGAGAGATTAGGCATTAACAGTTTTGCAGATCAGGCCACTGAGGTGATGATTGCTCCTTACACGCTTGAATCTACCCTAAACCTCTGCTAACAAGTCATTTTAAAAGGTGTAATGTAGGGCCACCGGCAGGAGGAGTGTTCCATCCAAACCGAAATGTGTGCTGACTTAATTAAGCACTCACTCTCATGAGAATCTCTGGTATTAGCTTGGACCACAAGTTGGAGGTTGGCACAATACGGTTTCATAGGCGACAGGACCTTCATCAGGAAATGATGGGCTTTCTTTCGGGGTGAATCACCGGTGTCAGAATGCTTGGGTTACGGCCCTCCCGTCGAATGGCTTGGTCCGGTGACTCACTGGGATGTTGCCGTGGCACGCGCGGTGGGGTGGGGGCTGATGGCATTTCACTGATGGCATTTCGCCAAAGGCCACTTAACCTAACCAGAGGTCACAGGCACACCAAGAATGTCGAGGCAAATTATCCCCCAAAAAAGAAATACAAATTATTAAGTTTAACGCCCATTTGAACGAAAATTATCGCCTTGCAGCATATTTCTTAAAACAGTTTTTTTTTCATTTTTTTGCATAAAATTGTGGGCAGGCGTTTGGGTAATCGAACGTCGGACCCTGAGATGAAAGCCCCATTTTTCCACGATTGAGCCAATGAAAACGCGCGAAATACGCCACTGTGATTGGTTGACATTTGAATGTCCCATTGTGCAGTTCCGTACGAATTTGGAAGTGGCCTGTAAACAATTTTGGGCAGAAACGTCCCGTAATCCCTGCACAACGGAGCCATAAAATTAAGAACAGTTCGGGTCTTAAGTGATTTGGCCGTTCTTGGAATTTGTGTTTTGCGAATAGGCGTCCAAAACAACAATTAATCAAAATGGAGCCCTTTTCTGTTCCACCGACTAATCAGGCGCTTAATGTTAAACATTTCTTTTTAAAAAAGCACAAATTGTAGGCTGTATTTAGAGCCTGCTAAAACTGTCAAGTAAGGCATAAATAACGGAGTTTACCGTGTGTGTGAGACCCACCTTTAACTACACAGCCTGCCACACACAAGTGACAATTTGCCGCTTTCACAAAAATTCATAATTTGTCTTCTATTTCTTGCTGGAGAGCAAAATTTGTTGCTCAGATGAAGTTGCTGCCTTTTTAACTCTGGACTTCGTGTTTCTGAAGTGCTTTAGGTGCTAAAATCAGACGATTATTATCATAATGGCCATCGTCATTACTGTAAACAGCAGCATCAGCATCCACACAAATGCTGAATTTGTCATTAATTTTTACAAATGAAATCTAAATTTGTGGAATAATTCGAACAAAATGAAGCCGTGTACAACAAAAGTTCTACTGTGGCAACAGCGACCAGGCTGGAATGCAGATCACCAACGACAATTCAACACCGCAAACGCCTGCAAAGAAACATACTGATCAAAGGACAAGATCTTAGATCCCTTCAGGCGACATGTGATTGGGTGAATTCATTTTTCCTGTGTTGGACAATTTTGGCGTTTGACGAGATCTTGTTAATAGTCCAAGAGGATCACAAGTGGTAATATGCATGAATGACTTTATCAGTAGTATAACGCAAATCATCTAGTTTGCATCGGTAGAACTGATTGGGAGTACTTAAAATGGGAAAATGAGGTGAAAAAACTACGCTCTAGATTCGCCAGTGTACTCATCTTCCAACTAAATACCTTCGAAAATGACTAAGATGGAAATGCATTTCGTCTTCTGGAAATCACAGTTGGTAGCACTGTTGCTTTTATTATTAACGAGTATTTTTTCAGTAATACAACTGTGGTATTGTTTTAATTGATTGTTAAAGTTTTCCATTTGTTGATAAAGCAGCTTCCTCATGAAAATTATAGAAGGGTTTGCAAATTCTCTTCGAATTTAGTACTTTCTCTGGGGTTTATTAGTGACTTTCAGTGGCTCCTTTTTGATTACTGCAATTACTAAGCACTCTTGACCTTTGAAACACTAGGCATGATACAAACTTATGATCCGAAGAACTCTGAGACAACTGACATGTTTGGAAGTCCACGGACGCACGCAGCGATGACAATCTGGCCCGTCGTGCTTGTGAATGATTCACCACCCACCCAGGCAGACAGCAGTCAACTGATGCGATGCTTGGTGTTCCAACTTAGGGAAAACTCGAAATTTAGTGAATGACATCAAGAGACTAAATGCGTCAGAACTCAAGGTTCCAATTTTAGGTCGTCACATCTGAAACCGAAGAAAGGGCAGATTCTCACCTGCCCTGTCACGGAAATTCAGGAGGTGGAGGAGAGGCATAACAAGGAGGTTGGATAAGCCTGTCTGCAGTGTGGCAGACCACTGACGTGGACAATTTGGGATGGAAAACTTGCGTCGCCTGGTCGATAATAGGAGATGTGAGCGCACGTCACAGAGCTCTCGAATCAAAAACAATATTTAATGGGGAAATTAGTTTTTCACACACGCTGCATTATCAATACCAATTGCACAATCACAATTTGCAAACACCTGCCACCAAGATTAAGGTTTGGTGTTTGCGGCAATGAATCAAGGAATCACATTCAACTTGTCTTTGCACAAATGAAGCGGAGAGATTGCATTGTTGTGTGACCATTAAGAGAAGCGCTTTGTGGGCTGTTGAAAATGGTTCACCTGAAAACCAATTATCGCATGCACTTGACTCCATCACGCCATGTGAAGCATACTTCGCATGGCAAGATGAACGGACAAAGCAACTGCAGTAAGGCGTGCTTGTCTAGCAGCGACTGCCTTCTGTTCATTTTGCTTTAATTAATGAAGGCGTTGAGATCATCCGAAACGTTGAAGTTGAGGAATATGTCACATTGCGAAACAAAGTAAATTAACATTCTGGGACTTTGATGTAACGCTTCACACTTTCACAGGTCTCTACCTGGTGTTTTTAAAGAAAACAAGCATAATTCGCCACGGTAACGAAGATTGCTGGTTTCTGAGTGCTTATTGCTTAGCCAACTTGAGAAATGAATGTTGACATATAGCGCAAAAATGCTGGAGTTCGGAGGAATTGCTAGTGTGTTTTCGGAGGATCTGGTAAGAGAGTTCGCTTGCAGTCGACACAAGAGTCCCCAATTTGCTTCTCTCGCTTCGAAACACAGCAACACAGTGTAGGAAGAGACAAGGAAACTCATTGTGTGGTTTGTGATTTGGTTGCGTTTCCTTGACCTGTCATGTACGGCCAGGAAACAAATTAGTTAATATTTGAGTGCCTTGTTTTCAATACTAAATGCTATAATTGGGTGTTTGGCTAGGCTTTGAACATTTTTGATAATTTGATCGCCAAGAAAAGTGACTTTATTTGGGTAAAGACAAGTCCTCAACAATGGGGCATTTCCCCATTCTCCAAAAGACAGCAAATGAGTTGAGTTCGAGTAGATTTTTCTTTAGATTGATTAATTTTATCATAAATCACCTGAAATAAATGCTCGCGTCTTTTGACAAATGTTGCATAGATCTACTCAACTTTCGTCACGAACCTGCAATTTCGGGACTCGTAACACCTCAACCCTCCCGATAATTAGCTGCGTGACCTCGATCACCCAAGACCCTAAAAATAGCATTATTTCCGTTTGAATGTGCCTTGATGGAAACACCGAAGCACTCATAGGTGTTATTTCGTTTGCAAACGTCAAAAAAACCGAAGCGGACAACCAGCAACTCGGGGCTGACATTTTGTAGACTCTTCTGAAAGCTGCAACAAGAAGGTTCGAATTGTCATCAAATCGACGGCGATCGGGCCAATCAAAGGCCACTTTGGCCTTAAACATAAACCAACAAGGCACAATTTCATCTAGTGGATGAGTTTGCCGTTGGATTTAATTAGGCAGGCGCACCGGAAGCCCACGTCCAACTTCCGGAGTTTCTCGCATTTCGAATTGCCAGCATTGCGTTGATTGTCCACTCCGGAACCTGCGTTGTGCATTTCCGCTTGCAGGCCCGCGTGTCGGTCTCGCTGATTATCGCTGTTGACGCAATTGCTGGAATCACACCAGTCGGCCACACGAAACCAAACCTTTCCTGTTCTGGAATCGGCGGTCATTGACGTGGGGTGTAGCGGGGTCAAGATCTCAACAGTCCCACAAAGCCCCTATTTCACTCAGCGCTGTTAAAATTGACCCACCATCTCGGATTCGGTTTTATCGATTTTTTGCAGGCAATTTAACTGACTCCGCTTGATGAGCCAAAATTTCATTGGGTAGTAGAGACCTAAAGTGAGCACCTTATTTTAGTATCAAAAAATTAGGCTATGATGTCAGATAGTGACAATTTGAAAAAAATTAAGGAAAAGCGAAATAAACAAGATCGCGGCAGCTAGGCTGATTGTTTAATAAACCATGCGTCTTTTGCCTTTTTTCAACAGACCTTTTTGATTTAAAAAAAGGTTATTTTTTTTTACCTTAGCTTTGGCTGTCGATGAATAAAATGGAGAAGCTAAACAGCACAATGGAGTTTGCATGTGTCTAATTCGTTCCTCCCGCTAGCTACTAAGTCACCTTGATTTGGCACGAAAGTATATTGCCCAAAATTGACGTGACGCCAACGTGAAATGCATCATTCGGTGTGATCGTACTTTCTTTCATTGGTGGGAGTGTAACAAGTAAAAAAAATTGAAATGTGGAGGGATGGCTTTAAGATGGCTTCTGATTAAATCGGCATAAAAAATGTGCGCATTTTGATGGTAAAATCGACTTTTTTTAAATTTTCACTGAATGTGGTATTTTTTGAGATGGGTGGGCCCTTTTGAGGTACCTACAACGACAAATTTTAAGGCATGTGAGCTAATTTGGCGATCACGAAACTGCAAAAGCAGATAAAAATCAGGCACTACATAGGTTCAATGGCTTTGGCACTTTTGGCCACGTCACCCAAGTTGTGAAAAGTTGGATTATTGGTAAAAGAAATTATTTCTGCTCTTTATTTTTTCTGTAGATTTTGACCGATAGATCTTTGCCAATCTTTTACACCCTTCTTTTCCTGCTTCACCACATTTCCGCCTGATTTTTTCTGTGTACAATAATGTGAATGGAGCAAGCAAATAACAACGCTAAGGATAGTACACTGTTGGGAATGAGTTATGGGGAGTGATGGGGAGTACAGTGTGATGTGAAAGCGCCATTTTCTACTTAAGATGCATTCCACGTATCACAATCATCCACTTCGACAGGTCAGTGAAAAAATCGTAAATTCTACTTAGTGACATTGAGCATTTTGATTTCTTCACAAAAGTCCACAGGAACGAATTCGACGTGGATATTAAAAAAAACCCGGAATTTTAAGTTGTGATTTACTGGGAAAGCGAAAATTTCTGTGCAAAAGAGGGCAATTTCCGCCTAAGTCATTCGGTGGGTGAAAGCTGATTAGCACAGATTGGCCATCCTGGGGAATCCTGGATCCCCAACTGCACTCTCGTTACCACTTTGCTCCCCCACACGACACCTAATTTTGCTGAAGGAAAAAGCAAATGGGAATTCCTGAGAAGGCCTCGCTTGCGTGGCTATTGTGGGGCAGCGATTTGAAAAGTTAACGAGATTTATGGCAAATTCACGTGAAAACGCCCCATCAGGGAGTGGGTAACCGGCCAAATCGGTCGACAAATACCGCGAAAGCGACATTGGGTGAAAAGTTCTCGGCATAAATGATGATCTTCGCGCTATTTCGATCACAGCTACGTATTAACCCGGGGAGGACAGCCTGTTGGATGGTTCCACTGATTACACAAACTGAGTCCTAATCGATGGTTTCTGCATACTAGCACAAAAATACTACTTATGCTTAATGAAGAGAGAAAAGAGTAGTTAGTGGATTTCGTGTGTCACAGTAGGACTCTTTTATCAATTAATCATTGTCTTCAAGGCTAAGGGAGAAGACTAGGGGCTCCCTTTTGGCTTGGACCTCGAGGCGGCAGAGCGAGGACGACAGTGGAAAGAAGGTTAAAATGCGGCATGCGTGGGACGCAGCTATCGGAAACCAAACAGTCTGTTGGATTTTGCGTTTTACAAAAGTCGACAGCAGAAAGCATGCAGTTATGTGGATTGTAATTTAACAACGCAGCATCGAACTGAGGCAGGGTCTAGGAAGTCTGTGCAATTGCCGTGGTTTGGAAGGTCAATTTTAGTAACATCTGTGACACATATTTGCCGAAATTTTCACGAACACTATTAAAGCAAAACGCTTATCTCAACGAATCAGTACCAGCTACCGACATGCCTACTGCAGTGACAAGTTTGTGCAATGTAACTTAATAAAGTGATTTCATGCCCTTGTAGGTTGGCCAACTCTAAGATGTTAGATGATGAGGTTGGGCGTCTTGTTCCACCAATAAATTGGTACTTTGGCACAAGGAAACAGACATCAATTTCTACAAAGCAACCCCACCGTTTATGGCCATTTCAGTGGCAGTCATTTGTGCAGTTGCGTCCATTATCACTTTGGTTTCACTGGTCCGCAGATAGCAATCGGCTTAACACCGTTCCTTCAATCGGAAGTTGACTACAAGGAGTAACATGGAGATGCGCGAAAACGGATTGTCAAAATCACTGGCGATTTGAAGCAGTAGCAACAACAACAACAACAAGCGATGCTCTGTTTTATGCTTAGAGCGCCTCGATTTTGGACAACCAAACAGAAAGGCCAAAAACAGCTTTCATTACCATTACAACAAATAAGCTAGCAGATTGAGGATAAGTTGGCTTTTGGATAATTCGTCAGCGGAGGGTGTCCTACGAATCTAATTCATATTTTTCAAACTTTCACATGACCTACCTGATAGGCTAACGCTTTCCTGCGTCCAACCACATGAATCCAAATATGTTTTCGTTATCACCAACCGAACCGTGACTTGTTTAACTTCATAAATGGCCGCCTAGTTTTTTAGTCTGAAGGGTGAACGGGTGGGTGGTCCGAAATGCCCACATCAAACGAAGGCGTCTGCGCCTTCATGTCTGGCGTCGGCTTCCCTTGCTGTAATCCTGAACTATAAAATTTTGGATTATCAAAGTTGCGTGGTTGACTTGAGAAGATTGTCACGCAATCATTCGTTTTCTCGCCTTGCAGTAATTGGATTATGCATTAATTGGCTCCGCTTGCACTAACCGCTCTTTTGTGAACAAAGTACTCTTTGTCACCTCAACGGTTATCCCAAATTGTAAACAAATTACAGCTGATGAATATGCGGTTGTGTCCACTCTGTACCTAGTCTTTTCCTGGCCAGATGCCACAGTTGTTACTAAGGTACAAGGTTGTCGGACAGTCGTTAAAATCTACAAGTTCAACAGGTCACAGGGGGTTCTACAGAGCCTGGAAGTTGACAAGTGCAGTCTCTGTGCCTGACTACTTCCCTGAATAGAAAACTGGGCACATCTACTGGATATTCGTAACTTTCATCTAGATGCCACCTTCTATTGTTTAAATTCGTCTCGTGTGAGCAAATTTGTTGTTTGGTGTAAAAATAGGCGAATGTCCAGAACAGAAGTGGATGTGTCCAGACCAATAACCAACACTGCCTGTCGATCATAACCTCGGTTTCATTATGCCACATCATGCTGACTCCAGTTTGTGTGATCTGTTATTGGGTTCAAAGTCAAATTACATTGAACATTATTACATTCCTTCACCTCACATCTACCATCGGGACCTCTTACTCAGTGGACCGTCACGTTAGGCCGTACTTCTACCTGAAAGCTATACCACAGAAGAGGTCATTTTGCTAGAACAGCGATAGAATCAACGCGAAAATAACACCCAGAAGAGCCAAAACAGAGCCAGGAAAGACAGAACGCCACAAGCATTCACTAATGCTGTTGAGGCCTCATCGCAGGTAGCTTGTACAGCCAATTATCGAATCCTAATAGTTCCTAGGCGATGTTGTTGTTGCGGTTTTTTGAGACGATAAAACATCAATTTTACTTGGGCGTAAATCTCTCGACAAACGAGATCAAGTAAACCCTGTCTTGAGGACGCATTTTCGCATTTTTCCAACACAAATCGTGCCTAAAGGTGAAATTTTATGACACTTGGAAATGCCAATTACGGGGAGAGACAGCCGTCCGCATGGGCTCTTTGATTACTTGGGTTGTAAAACTGGCCGGCTTCGTTAGTACCTAAAACATCAGTGTGTTTTATTTTCCGCAAGTGACTGCTAGACATTCACTTCAACAACTGGAGTCATTGGAATCACTAAGGCACCTGGAAGCCATAATTTAAACATCCGTTGTGTTTATGAGATCGCAGAGGTTCACCGAATTGGTCAGTGATGTGTGCCTTCGTCAATCAACTGTTCGTTGATCTGACACCGGGACCTCAAGAGGAAACATAGAACCTAATAATGAAGATTCTCCACTTTGTGATATGGCAAATGCAAAACAGGTTAAAATAATTCCAGAACATCAAAGGTTGGTTGACAATGGACTCGGGGATTTCAGCAGACGATCGTTAGCGCAACCGCTTGTGGTGGGATCCACGAACGGTGCTGTGGGAATTCTTGAGGAACGTTTGTTTGAGAAATAAGCACACAGAGTTATTTCAATGCCATCGTCTCGCAAACAGCACAGAAAGGGGTCATCTTGTGGTTTGCTGGGGTCCACAACAGTTGTCTTGCCGGGCACATGGCTAAATCGGGCATATGCTTGGTGTCGTGAAGATACTTAACGTTTGAATATTCAAGGCATTCTTTCAATAACCAGTCAATATGTGTGAAAAAGTTTCAACATCGCTGGTGTCAGTCTGTCCATTTATAAAAACGAAAGTCGCGTTACTTGACTTTTCACAATTGCGGTGCCCAAAAGTGGGCAAACTTTGCCCAAAGTAACCTACACCAACACAAGACCTTGAGCACTGTTTACAATACCATCCTGCCACTTGCACACAGTCGTCTAGGATCATGGCTCTTTCACATTAATGGAAAACATTTACATGGTTTGAATCCCGCTTAGATGGTGGTGGTGGTGGTAGCAGCCGCAGTTGATCGACAGAAAGTGCGACGAGGGCTGCACAACTCCCCTCCCAAATGTCGCCAAGGGTGCACCCTTCGAACACGGAAGTCCATCAGACGAGGTTCTTCGGGGTCATCCTCGGGTCGCCAACGCCTTCAGTCATTGTGGGTCGCGCACAGGCGGTCGCAGTAAACTGCACTTTTGGCTAACAGCAGCAGCTGCTGCTACCACGCATGTGCCACCAACTGCTACGGGGAAAGATTTACTGGCAGCGGTTCTGAAGGGCGCACACCGCGAGCCTGTTCTTCCGATTAAGTTTGCCAACAGGAGGGAATTGTGCCTCTGATGCTTCGAATTCTGCCTTCTGTCAGCACGAGGCTTCCAGTCCTCAGCAGACTTCCTTGAAGTTCTCGGTGAAGCATGAAGGCGCACCACGAATATGCTAATGCGCCAGTTACCTATTCAATCCCAGGTACTAAATTTAGACGTGAGGCCACATTTGGACCTTTGTGGTATTGCGCTACAGCACTCACTTTCGTGGCAACAAGGGGAACTCTCAAACGATCTGCTTTTGAAGTACCCAAAGTAGGTGATACAGGCTACTGCTGAGGAAACTGCTCAGCCCACACTTCTAAAGCTTGCAAAGGGGAAATATGAGAGAAAAATAAGACCGAATTTAGTAGTCGTGGGAATTCGAGTAGCGAACAGTCCAATTAGACATTCCAACCTCGATTCCCATGCCAGAACAGGCGCACATTTGTGCGAAGAAAATTCAGGAGTGAATCGGGCCTGGATACAAACTGTGTGAAGCTTAAAAAAGACCCCATGAGGTGGAGGCACGATTAAAAGGCCACTGATCTTATAAACTTACTTTAGAGGTCCAGTCACATCACCTGTAGTTAGAACTGGCCGACATACTTTGGTCAAAACCGAACTTACCTCGAAAATTCAACCAAACTGAACAAGTAAAGACCCTATAAAAGCGATTGCGAAAAAAGGCGCCTGCCAGCCAGTCTATGATTGCACTTCAGCCAGTCAAGACACTCCTGGTGACGACAAAGACGTTTTGTTTTCGCTACTACTAGGTGGTGTGACATTGTAGTCATTAGTATCATCGTAATTGTAGTAAATAACGAAAAGCAGTATAATTTTGCACATATGCGTATGTGCAGTGCATAAAAAAGGCACATTTATTCGTGTGGTTCGCCACTCTTTGGCACTGAAGGTGCGGCAGTGGAAAAACTTTCTCGAATTTCTTGACAAAGGATTAAACATAACAGCCTACTTATTTAAAGTCGGTAACATGTTTTTATTGAGGGGCTCACGATATTGACCAGAACGAGTCTGCACGTCGAATTGGGCATGCCTCAACCCGTTACTTTTGACGAGGGTGATGAAAAGATGGTAGAATCAGGAATGAGAAATGAGATCGTGACAACTGTTATTTTCTAAAAATCTAATTTTAAGAAGTCTGGACAACATACAGCCTGTACTGAAATTCATTTACTAATTTAAAGGCGTCTTAGCGCTGGACCAGACACACAGACAAAGTTGATGACAGCTCAGGTCAACCACTAGGAGAATTGATTTACGACCAAGCCAATGCCGTATGGATCACTTTGTTTAAATTCATCGCCGCGCCCTGAAGTACAAAGGGAGATAGCCAATCAAAATGTTAGTTTGCTATGTGAAAATCGGACGGTTTAACCAATGAAAATGTGTGTTTGCTAAAGGATAAAACTAAAAAGGTTTAAGCGAAATATATTTTTTGATGATTCGATTTTTAACATTTAGTTTGCCTCATGATGTGACTCATCCGAAGTTCTAGGCATTCTAATACCCTGGGATAAACAAATAGCACACCTGATCCGGAGGTTGATTACAACAAATGACTTTTGAGATCCTGGAAAATATGGCAGCCACTATCCTGTTGAATTTTGGGCTTCTTTTGTGTTGAAGTATTGGCTAAGGATTAAAAAATGTGGATTTTTTCTCTCGTGGGTCTTCAAAAGTCTCTGTGTTTTTCTGTTTAGTGAACAAAATACTCCTTTAGTGTGCAAATATGAGTTCTTTAATAAGAGTCCAACCGAATGTCGCATTCTTAAACTCATCTTAGCCCAAACAAACCAAGAAACACCACCACTACTCACTTTTTAAATTAAATATAGATCCGATTTTACGGTAATTACAATGCAACAACAATAGCACGTTTCTACACGTCTACGAGATGTTTGTTGTTTGGGCATCATAAAATCCGCATTGTAAGGTCCAAACATCGAAGCTAACGTGTCCACCTTCATTAAGTCGATGATAAACAATGCCTCGAGGCCTCCATTTGGACGCCAACCCAAAAAGTGCGTGGATCTCTGAATGCGTGAACGAAGCCCCTGTGTGAACTACAGCACGAGAATCGGTGTCTGGTGCTTCCCAGCCCACTGTTGTCCTCGCATCGTTCAGTGATGATCTTCGTTGGTAAATCAGCAAACGTCGAGCCTGATCCATGTGTGCTCCTCGGGCTATCAGCTCAATTAATGCTCAACTCCCTCAAACATCACCCAGACCACGTGCAGAGTTTCTTGGAGCATTTTCCGGGGGAAGGGGGGTGGGGTTATGCTGTGAGTTACCAAAAACACACGCAAGCTCTTTTTCTTATCCAACACACGCCTCATCTTGCCAGTGCAGGACGAAGCTATGACCCCACGCAGAGGGCCCTCGGTGTTGGGGCCAAGGGCCGAGCGACATGTCAAAATGGACAGATTTCATGCGTCTTAGGTGACCGTGTGACCCAGTAAGCGATATGACCACTCCCAGGAGCTGGCAACGTGACCATTAAAGTGGTATAGCTAAGCAAATTGAGTGTAAAGTTGGACAGCTATAGATCCCAACTGCACGGGATACGTAATTCCCCAAAAGATTCTTAACTAAGACAAATTACAAATGAGGGGCAGTTGTCAATGGCCAAACGAACGTCCAATTCATCACGGGGTCCTATTTCGTGACTGCCACCAGATTCCGATTTACCTAGCCAGGGCTTTTACACACCGTAGGTATTGGTTTCTTAATCCGATTAAGTAGATGAAATAAGTCAAAGAGCGACGATTTGGGGAGAAGAGTGGAAGCGCTTGATAACTGAATTAGTCTCTCATTAATTGGACATTTGATCGTAATCCAAACTCATCACAACTCAAGCAAGTTTTTATCACACTGTTGAAGCCCGCACCTGATAAAAACACGAGTTAATCAAAAAAGATTGCTTTGGAACAGTTCATTCGCCGAAGCTAAATTCACCGGAAATTGCCCCACATGAAATTAGTGTCTGCTCGATATTAGGTTTACTTCAATGTGAAATGATCTAAACTCTTCAGCAGTTCAAAATGCCTAAAATGGATTTTCTGGCCAAGATTTTCCTTCTATCACCGATTTGCACTTCCAAGTGATTCCACAGAAAACCCTCCATCTTCGCAGTAAGTATAACCTGATACTCGTCAATTTCCCTTGGGCAGTAGTGGGTTGCACTAGTGGATTCAAGGATTGGTGCTGCCAATTAGCAAACGAAGCTTAAGCCCTTCGTCTATAACAGTTTGCTTATGCATATGCAGCAGGACATAAAATCACGCACTAGTCCACATTTGCAATTGCGCGGAATGCAATCAATATCATGAGCCTCCCAATAAAAACATATTACCGAGTCTAAATAAGTAAGTTGTAATATTCAACCCTTTGTCAAGAGATTTTGGCAAGCATTTTCCAAAGAGTGGCGAACTACACGAATAAATGTGCACAGACTCTAAAAAGGCTCAAACATCCAAACCTGCCGCTACTTTCAACACTCACGACTCCTCCACTCTCTACTCAACAAAAATTGCAGCATGTATTTAGCTAATACACCTGGCTAAGGGTCCCATTACTTTGTATAATCCATATCCCACAAGCTTCTTGCATACTTAATTGATCCAAACAAACCTGCGTACTCAGTCAATTTGGCTGCACTTAGCACACATTTCTGATATATTCGACACTACCGAATAAAGAGAAACGGGTCTTCAAACTACAAAAAATGGTTAGTGTAAGAAAGGTTGATGGTAATATGAAGAGTCAGAGCCAACCCATAGATCCATTAGAGTGGTTTGAGGTAGGGGAAGTAACGAGACAAATGCAAGACCAGTGGAGAATATAAAACAGACAAAGGGCATGCCCGAAAGGTGCGTTTTGCCTAGTTAGGGAGAAGCAAATTGATAAAATTCTGTCATTAAATAAAATTAAGGTCCACTCTTGTCAAAAACACCACGAACAATTGTAGGATGAACCGTTTCAGGCAAACTAATTGATAACATCACGTATAAAATATTAATCGCTATCTTTAAGAATGATGACATTAAGGTAGTTACATCTTTAGCAATAAAAGTAACGGTTTCAAATCCCTAGGATGAAAAGAATGGCAAAATGCTATTTATTTTTGAAAATACTAAAACGAACACTGTTGCAGCCTATGATCAGCATTTCACAGAATAATATTTGAATAACTACATCCCGAGGTTACAGTGAAGTCCGCGATGTTTATGGGCATAATCGTCTGCAATCAAGTTAACTTTTATCTAAAGTGGAAGGTTACGAAGCTAAACTGAAAGAAATGCATCAAACATTTGTGATTCCCAACACACCACGATCTTGGAAATGAAAACTCACATTGAAAAAGTTATTCCTGGATCAATTTTAACCACATTCACAAAATCACCGTTAAATGCAACATTTTATTTTACTTTATGTCACAAAAATCAGGAAAAACTTAGTTGTAAGCAACTACATAAACCATTCGATCATATTTTAAAATTTTATAATCGCAGATTCTGTATTGAAATAAATAAATCACCAATTGAGACAAGACCTGCGAGTCATTCAAAAACAATGGAAAAGGATGACGGTATTGTTAATGAAATGCCTGCTGGAGTTATGTGACATACATTTCTAAGCGTATGATCTGTTTAGCAAGATTAATTAAAAAGAAACATAAGTTCGTAATTGGTATATTTAGATTTTGTCCCGGGACAGACTCTAATTCAAACAAATAAATGTAAGCGTCCTTGTTGGAAGTAAAATATACATAATTAAAAAATGAGGGATCTGCCAACTTAGCAATAATAGTACACATGTCAGTTACCTGGGTTTTTCAAAAAAAAAAGCAGTCAGAGGAATCAATGAGAATCCAGGAACTGCTCAATTCCAAGAAAATAATTTAAAAATATTCTGAAGTCTGTTCTTAAGTTGTTTATAAAGAAAAAAAACATAATTTTGACATTGATTGCAATACCAAGTAATACGTAGATATTTACCCCACTCGCTGGGTCAAATTTGGCTCTGTTTGTGGTTTTGTGTTATTTCTACATCCCTCACACCTGCAAGAAGATCTTGCACAATGCCTGGCATTTTGTTAACCTTTCATGACGCTTTTATGAATTTATTCCTCGTTGGCGACTGCAAAATTACATGATGGACTTAAACAGTACATAAACATTGTAAACACCGAAACATCGTCAAACCTTTTTTATCCCTTTTGCCTTGTTCCAATAACCTTGGGACCTTTGCCATATAGACAAACCTTTCACGAACACGCATATTGATTAGTAGCCAACATTTGGATATGCTCTACTCTCATTGGTTCTTTCCAAAAATAGCTAATAAAGCCAACTTAGCTGTTCTGCTTGACTGGAAATTACACTGAGTTTACAACGACAGCAATGGAGGTTCAGGCACTGTTTGACTATAGTAGACAGCACTTTGATGAAGTATCTCCATTGTAATCTTCATACTGTAGTTGTCTTTTAAAACTGGGGATACCATTAGAGTCCTGAAGGAAATTGAAGGCGGTTGGTGGTTAGGTGAACTGAATAACACAAAGGGATGGTTCCCTAGCAATTATGTTCGACAAATACGTATGTGTTAATTGATTGCTTTATAAGCCCCACAGTTCCAAGTCCAAAGTCTGCTGACACTAATCATCTGCTAAGCTTTCAACAGGAGGTCCTGCTATGATCTCTGCTTCATGTTTTTAGATTGTGCAGCACATACTCGAGGGAGAATCAAAGCAGATTTCTGATTTGAATATGCTTATTCGGGTTTTACAGCCAAATGTCGACACTCTGTCACAATTGTATGATTCCCATGTGACCTTATCTTCCTAGTACATTCATGTCTAAGTTGTCAGTTTTCTTGGACAAAGTTGTTCAAATTATCCGCCTACACGAATCGATTGTCAAGGCCTTGGAAAAAATGAAACCGTAACGTACTCGTATGATTGATTCTTATACGGCTAGGCTGTCGAAACCTAAATTCGTTGGCAAGCTGTTTTTGGACGTTGCTAAAAGCATGGATCAACTCACTGGCGAGTACACGCGTTCGTGTGCGTACATCGAAGCCGGTCTGCAAGAAAATAGGTAGGTTTGCGACTTGTATGTAAGTTTTAATTGGCAATAGCGCGTCAATTCCTGCTGCCATTGGGGCTGCTGGCCGTGAACTGTATTCGCAGAAAACAAAGTCATTATTTTCAAGCGTACACGACCGACTATCTCGCTACCCTATTCTATTGAAAGAAACGGAGCGCTATTATGAAGTAAGGATTAGTTTTAAAGTGGTCTGATTCGCCACTTTAGGAACCCCACCCGGATAGAACCGCCATTTGCAAGGCAATGCAGGTGTATTCAGAAATCTTGGTAGGGACTTTTGTTAAGAGGTTTCCTTTCATCATTAAAAGAAAAATCTTTTCACTTAAAGTTACTTCAAAATAATTGTATTCACCAGTACGAAGTTGCCGTTGTTATCCCTTTAGGATCGTTGTAATCTCCTCCGAAGTTTACGCGAAACTGACATTGAAGTACTATCGTCCGAGATTCGTGGACTTCCCGATCAGGTAGGCTCCAATGAAACAACTTATTGTGAAAACTCATTATAAATCGGGCTCAATTCTCTTTATTTCGTGCCGTTTGTAGTCTCGCCTTCAATTCAGCGATCCAACGCTGACACTAAAAGCGCAAATATGCACCGTTGAGGCAGATGGCACTTTCGTGGTTGACTCCTCAAAGCCGCACGAAGTTCTTCTCCTCTACCCAAGTTTTCTTATCTTCTTGTCGGCCTGTCCGGACTCCCCCAAGGTCTACCAGTTCCAAGTGAGTTGATTTCATTTGTCTCTCCTGTTCTTTTTCACTTTGCTGTCCTTTATTCATAGATTTTAAATCAGCCAGTATCTGGCTCCATCAAGACTAGTATCATTAAGTAGACTTTAAGGATTCGTTTGGATCAGATTTATCAAAGTTCACTGTTGATTCTTCTTTTTTTTCAGATGCATGTACCGATGCCAAATATCGCTGTGACGGCTCCACCAACAAATAATAGCGTTATTACTATTAAAATCCTGGGTATGTTTCTCTTCTTACCAACCACTGATTAACACCAATCTTAGTGGCTTGCTTTTTCCCAAATGCCGCGGAATGGTTTTTTTGTGTCGTAGGTGGAACCTCGTCAGCCGAGGAGCGCAACATCAACCTCTCGTGTACCGGTCCATGCACCCGGGACCTCTTTTTCTCCACGGTCACAGAATTCATTCGCAACTCCAAGGTACGTCACTCGTTTACCTTGTCAAATTCCGAAGTCTGAACTTTGGCTCCTGACTTTTCACTGGCTCTCCGTGTGAGTAGGTAAACAAGTGAATGAGTCTCCCTTACCTTTTTGCCTAAAAACTCAAAGGGTGTCTCAATATCGGCCACAACCCATGCTAGGGTAAATCTGTGGGACAAATGCAATAAACCTACGACCAACAAGGTCGTAGATACAAACCCCCTTGGGGGGGTGGAATGGCAGTTTCGTTAGTTTGGTAAGGGTGATTGTGTTTCTGCGATGAAAATCTCGCAGAGAGGCGTTTTTCCTTGTAGACCTGGATGTTTGTGTCAATTGAACGCGTGGGGCTTGGTTTTGTATGCGCCGAAAATGCCCCCGCGCATTTAAATGTGAAATGTGGTCATTGGTGACCCTTGGGAATAAAACGCGGCAGTGGTGCCCTTTTATAAAAGGCGCTTAAATTGTGTGGGAAATGCGAAGCTGCGTTTCACAAGGTTTTTAGTGGCTTAATTTCGAGAGGAAACCTGACACTCGCTAGATTTGTGACTGTCCATAAAGACGCACACACAACAGTCGAAAAGAGGGAAGCTTCCTTATGATTGATTGTACTTTGGACGCATGTACTTGATCGTCCGCATTGAAAATGAAAAAACTTGAAGGCGGAGCACTTATTCTATTATTGATTTTTGTGTCAATGACTGAATATGCCAAAGCGATGTCCGCTTACTTCTTTTTTGCAAAATGTTGTGGGTTATCTACCTCAAAGGTCACCTTTACGGCCGTACTCCTACGTGTTCTTGTTCCTTCTCTAATAATCTGACCTTGTAATTAATCAATTCTCGATCAGATCAGTGTCAGTTTTTGTTCCTTTGTGCTGGCTTGCACTGCAATTCGCCAAATGGCAATTGCTAACTACGAACCGAATTGCGCTGCTTTCATCGGAATCGGATCTTGTAGGCCTAATTCGTGGGTGCCAGGACACCGCACTTTGAAGGCTTACCTAACACATCTAATCACGGGACATGTTGACCCTACGACCGTGATCTCTAAATCTACTGTTTCTACTTTTCAAAAGATTGCCGGCGTAAGCCTTGATTGCCCCATGTCTTTTTTTCCATGAAGTCTTTTTTAACAACCTTTCAGTGGGAACTAGAGGCAGTGAAATTCCGTCACCCGGTAATACCTAACCGCTAATACACGGGTTATCCTAATCGCGCTAATCGTCCGCTGAGTGCTGTTGAGCCATCAGAGCTACTTTTTCTACCATCGAATTGTCCATCCACCTCGCCCTCCATCACACACCCACCCCCCACCTTGCCTCCCTCATGACACCTCGCCTAATCCCCACTGGGGCTTCCGAGTCTTCTTGCCCCCTCTGCTCTTCTCCCCACAGTCCCCAACCCAGTTGTCATTTTTTTACACCGCGTCCTCTTTGCGTAGCTCTCGACGCGAATGACAAGCAGCAACGTTTGTCTACTGGAGAACCTGTTTTCGCTTCAAATTTGGCATAGTCGTTCGTGTTATACGTCTTCCTCGAATTGTTGGTTTTAACGAAGGCGTGTAGTCGGTCGCGTTAGACGGAGCATGAAGGACGCCTTTTCAAATGAAACTAATCATTTTGTGACTCACGAAGGACTGCGTAGTGGCTGCGGACTGACCAGTCAGTGCTGTCAAGGTCATTTATGATGGGGCGGTATTTGTACATTCGGTGGCTGCTAGTTGGGGAGCCGTGTTTGCTCTGATACCCGCGTAACGATGCACACTTGCGGATATCCGTTCTATCACTCTTTTTTGCTCAAGCTATCGAACGTCTACTTTGTTCTCATTTGTAGTTGCCACTGAATGCCTCGTCGCAAGCCTCTGCCCACAGAACCGTTTCAGAGAGTGACCACAGGTCTCAAGCACCGCCTACAAGTGGAAGCAAAACCTCAGTAAGTGGGACAGCACACGTCACACACCACTGAAACCATTTTACTCAGTTATTCCCTATTCGATGGTACAATTTTACGCCCTCACCTGCCTCACTGATAGCGGTGGACGGCACGACTTGAGTGCAGGTCAAAAATTTTACCATCAAACTAGTAAATGCGAAGCGTTTGTTGATAAAGAGAAGGGGAATTAGACACTTCAGCATCACTATGCAACCCTACTACCGCTACTACTACCGTGTGCGTGTTTTCACTCGAGGCCCCCCCAACCGCCGAAGGTGGTGGTCCAAGTCGTCAGAGGAGCGCGACTCGCGTGCCGAAACCGAGTCACGTGCGTCGTTCGGGGAGTTGTCGGTCGACAGGCGGTGGCGGTGGTGGTGGAGGTGGCCTCGAGGACGACTCCGCCTCGTGTCTGGCCTCCAACCCACCCCACCTCTTCGCTCTCCGCCCCTCCTACTCCGGTCCCCTGTGCGGTCCCTCTGCGGAGGCCTTCGAGGAAGCGCCGGCCTCCAGGCTCGCCGCGTCCCAACCGCCCCGCACCAACACCGTCGCTGTGACCGACATAACCAACCTCCCGGGGTGTCGCTTTCTGCCGCACACTGTCCGTGCCAGACCGCTTGTCAAGTGGCCTGGTGGGTCTACTCTTGACCTATTATCCTTTATCATTTTTTGAATGACCTGCTACACACTGACCGCGATTATGCACCCGGCAAAAAAGTGGTTGTGTCGGTGACTTCGTGGTGGTGGTGGATTCGGAGGTGCCACGGAGCGATTTACTTTTGACCTATACGTAAACTAATCACTGGCCCTTCTACACCTGTCCATAGTCCTTTATTAAGAAGTTAATTGATCAAACTGGGATTTGGAAGGACTGCGTTGCTTGACGATGCGTCCAATTCACAACCGTCCTCTGAAGAAGACCGAAAACCCAGAAATCGTCAAAAGTACAGACACGACACCTCGCAATGTACTCGTGCGGGTACAGATCTTGCGTGCCCTAGTTGGTTTCATAAGTCGCAATGCAGGACAAGTACAGGACGCTTTTAAGAACGACAACTGGTGTCGCCTTAAACACATTGTTCTGCTGCGTGTTCGAGCCCCCGTTGGCTTCGGTTTCTTGTTAGGCGATAGCCAGGATAATGAATGCACACTTTCGAAATGTGCGGGAAATTTAAAATGAACTCTTTGAAAAGAAACCATTTAGGCGTCGAATGTGGCTCCTTGAGGGCATTCGGAAATGAAAAAAATATAATTGCCACTCTTTTGGAAGGAACATTTAAAATATTTGTGTTGCAAGGGGTTTTAATTAAAGGGAGGTATTGAGCAGCCTAACTTGATGTGAAACGGAAATTCACTCTGCCAAGCAGTGTCCTCTTCGGTCATTGACTCCTAAAATTGTACAATTGGTTTGCGTCTGTGGTGCATTTGCAGAGGACATCGTCAGTCTATCGAATCGCCAATCCACAGAAGGCGGCAGCGCCTTCGGCAGTCCCGGTGTGAGCCCGCTCGGTGGTGGTGCGCCCGCCAGCGCCAACTTGACCCACCTGCGGCTCGACTGCACCCCGCCGCAGTCCCAGTGCCTCGTGGCGGGCGACGCCGCCGCCGCCCCCCACGGGCTGCGTTCGAGCGCGCGACCACTCGGTGGCCTTGGCAACCGCAGCTCAAGGCCGAACTCGCCCGGAAGGCCTGGTCCAGGCGGCGATGGCAGCGCGGCGTCGGCGTCAGCCGGCAAGGTGATGCGTCGGAAGAGGACTGGTACGCCGCCCCTGTCTGCGCGTCCATGTAGACTCGCGTCTAGTGCATCTAAATCTCCCCATTCCCGGTTTTCCGCTGGCGATTAGCATCCTTTAGGGATTTGAGACGCAAGGGCTAGGAGCACTTGGTGATGGCCAAATTACGTGCCCAATCTAAAACCACAATTAGTACAAAACGTTTTCGTGGATAAAAAAGTGTTTGTTAGTGAGTAACACACCCTCCATCATTTCCTATAATCGTCTATCAGACTTGTTCAAGCTCTTGAATACTTTTTTGGCAGAGGGTTAAAGTTATTTTGTGGGCCAAAAACATATGTAAATGTTAAAGGGGGTGACGTCAGGCGACATGTGGCCCAGCGTTGTCGTGGCGGGAGACAATTTAAGTCGGACTGACTGAAATCAGACGTTTTACAGGTAGTTCAACGCTGAGACGGGTGAGCTATTCAATGCTCTTCACAGCAGTTGTTGTTTGGACATATGGAATTAGGTTGTGTGAACATAATTCTTTTTGTAATCCGCGCTTCGTGCTTCTTCTCTTTGCAATGCTGTAAGTAAGACATTCATCGTCTACGCTTACGATTTGAATCATGAAGAATTTGTTTTTTTTTAAAGAGTGATCGTGTCAATTTAAAAAGAACAATCATGATAGGGTGAGAAGCTGGGTTAGAGTTACCTGTGGACCTGTCGCATTGATCGTTTGGCTTGGATTTCGTCACTGAGTTGAATAAGTTGCCCACATTCAGGTCTTCTTCACAGTTATTGTTTGGTCGGGTGGAAGGTACTCGTACACTATGCTTCCTTCGCGGTGCCCCTGCTAGACAACACAACAGCATCTTCATGGATGCGGCACATTCAGTCTTGTTCTTTTGCTACACTGCTTCCAACTTACGCTTCCCATAGTGCCGTAATACACAAAGCGTGTTCATCTAACCTCCGTGTCACTTGATCCACGGAAGGCTTGTTTTGCTGACGAGCGAGTGAGGAGGGAGTTGGCTGTGCGGATCACGGTGCAGGCCGTTCCGTTCTGTCAGCACACGCGGAAACTTAAATATCGAGTATCGAAGTGTAATTAGTTTGCCTTGAATGCCGAAATGCAGTCGGGTTGCGAACCTGCAGTCTTGCAGGCGTCTTTGTCCGAAGACTTCAGTTGAATTCATTATCAATTCCCTGAGGTCGTATAGACTGATATCGCGAGTTTTGAATCGACCGAACCCCTTCTGGACTACCCTAGGTGCAGAAATCCGCATATATGTTCTTGCAGGTACAGCGCTAACTTCTTTTGGGTATTGACCCTTCACCCAAATTCATACGAACAAGCTCTCAAATGCGTTGTGGACTCACGAAGAGTTCAGATAGCTGTCAATTGATGATATGATTATGAAAGAAACACCAGGCGAGTCAGACGTGCACGCCTCTGCTACCTATGTAAATCGGTCACGTAGTTCTGCTGTGACATTACGAATGACTGTCACATGTAGTGCGGTGTAATCGTTACCTTGTCGTCACGCGGCCCACAAGCCATAGACCTGGACAATCTTAAATGAATTTTTTTAGTTGATTCTCGATGTCTGTTACCCGATTGAATGTTGAAAGCGTTTCTGCTGAAATTCACGATAACATCAATATGTTTAGGGCCTATAAATCAATTAGTTTGTTGGCTATCAAAGCGCCAATCCCAGGTTTAGGAGAGGCGAAAACACGACTGATGTCTCCAACATTTGGGTAAACAAAAGCCAAAATTTACGACTTTCCACATTAAATTGCTGACTAATTTCTAGAATTTTTAGATTGTGGTGTAGCAGAGACACTGTGTGAATAGTAATTATGGAGTGTATGGATGGGATTGCTGAATAAAGTTGTCGTATTTACAATAGACACGCTAAAAGCCGAGATTGGATTTTAGTCACAAATAGCTTCGTTTGTTCACGTTGAATAGAGATTGGAACGGCAGCAGAGAAGGAACACATACACAGGCGCACACACACACACCGCACCCCGAGCGTAAATTTAATTAATTGGCGTTTGACCCGTCATATGTATATAAGCAGCCACAGTCCTCGTTGACAGGGTAGCATCCTCCTAGAGTACGCGCTGGTAACCTCCGTCAACATGAACACCCTCTGCAAAGCCAATCCCGATCCGAACGCGTGCGAGAACAAGCCGCGCATCGTGCGAATGGACCTCGACGAGTCGCTCGAGTCCTACTTCCTCAAAGTAGTCTACGAAGCCTGCAAGTGCTACAACGACCCCCTGGACATTTGCACGGCCATAAAACAGTGCCTGGACGCGAAACTAGGCCGAATGTGGCATGTTATCGTTGGCGTAGAGTTCGGAAGGTCAGTTGTCCTCACCACTGCTCTGGTTTATGCTTTCGTACGACGCCTAGGTAAAGTTAAATAGAAGAACCTTAGGTAAAGACTCAGATAATTTGCGTGTATTTTCACCTCTGGAAGTCTTACTTATCGTTCTTCAAAGGAGCTTTCCAGAAAGGCCACTACTGCTTACAAAGCCTGTGTGTATTTCGACGAGATAGGAGGTATTTTGCAAGATGGAAACCTGACTTCACTAGGGGGTGATAGGGAGATTTGATTTGGCGACAACACATCACAATGCCAATTTCGATGCTTACAAGTGTGAAAAATAGCTGCCTTTTATGCAACTGGTACATGGAGGTAGGAGGGGTTTTTCTTCATCTCATCAAAAATATGGAATAAGAGCGACTCCTGCTTCGGATGTTTCAAAAGTGATGCCCTAAATACCACAGAAAGCACGGTTTTAAATAAGGCTTAGGAAACATGATTTGTCGTGAAAGCAACCACTTTCGTGACCATCCACCCATCTGTGACTAATGATGAATAAGCCCTCTTAATTGACCCCTTTACCGCCGATGTATCGATTTTTTTGCACTTCTATAGTGAGCTGTGTGAGAGCATTTGACAGTCATAGGGTTTCCGCACATCTCGCTTTTTTCTTGAGCCCACACGAAATTTGCACAGTTTAATTGCTGCAGGGCTCAATTGGCTACCGCGTTAATAAGGCGGATGACAAATGCAATTACGACAGCGCAATTGTGCGGAGCCTCCCGAGGTTGTGAAGAGGCTTGGCACATGAGATCTTGTGAGTGCGCGCGCGCGCGCGTGCGTGCGTGCGTGCGTGACCCTCCAGAGCATCCCAAGTCAATTTAATTGAGAGCTCACCACTCACAATTAGGCTTGTGGCGTGGCAACAGGTTTCACTGCGGTGTAGTGTGTAGTTGGTGCCAAACGATGCCTCAGTACGGTGAGATTCGGTGCGTGGCGGACTCACGGTGTGATAGCGGGGAGAAGCCGCGTTTCCTGCGCTACTCCCTTGACCCCAATGTCGAAACTGACTTCCTCTACTACGTGCGTCGGGCCTACGAGACCTACGATGACCCCGAAGACATGTGCACTGCACTCAAAAAACGACTCGACGACGAGTACGGTCCCACGTGGCACGTTGTCGTTGGTGAATACTTCGGAAGGTATGTGGTCCACTGACTCTGTGCGGCATGTCCTCTGTGACACGTTGGACCGAGTTGTGTTCCATGCCGGAACACCACCTGGCGACTAGTTTATGGGCATGTGCACGCTTTTACCACGCAAAAAATTAGACGTGGTGGACTCTAGTTGTAGGACGGTCATTATCGTTTCTCGTATTTTCTGTGGGTACTTTAATAGACTTACATGGCTAATCAACAACTTCAAAGCTGCCGAGTGCATTCTTCCCCGAAGTTAGAAGGCTGCTTTTAACTTCACTGGTGGCTTTTAAACTGTTACGATTTTGCGAAATTTCACGCTCAAAATTCCACACCCTATTTGTGCCTCCGGGCCTTTAAACGCGAGAACCGAGTCGACATTTACGCACCTAAAACTCATAATTTTGATCGATTCAGGTTACTTGGGTGTTTGAGTGCAGCGGTGCTCCCACCGAAACTCGATAGCCCTTGCGCGAACTTTTCACACAACGCGATGTGGTTGGACAGCGAGTCATGAGTTTCGTGGCTGCATGGGATTCACCACGAGCATCACGGTTAGCGCACTTGGCAAGTGAAGCCAAGTATAATTAAGGAGTCACAAGTCTCCTTTGTGCCCAATTACTTAATGACGCTAGTTGGGATTAAGTAAATAAACTCATCACATCACAAGCAGAGCCAAGTCATCGGGGTGTGGATTGCGGCGGCAAGAAAAAAACTTAGCCTGGAGGAATTCTAACAGGCGCGTAAGTCGGTGAAGGGCTGCGATTGGACAGCGCGCAATTTGTGCTTGTTTGTTTTTTGCCTTTCAGCCACTTCGAGCACGAACCCAAGGGCTTCTGCTACATCACCTACCGGGGACTGTCTTTCCTCATGTTCAAATTCGGCTAAAATGCACCCGATCCCCCCTATACTACTACTGCTGTCACATTATACCTCTATAAAGCTTAAATTTGATCGTTTGAACCACATGACTACTACGAAGACGAAGAACTTGTTTTACTGTGCCGTGAGAGAAGGGGGCGGAAGTTTTGTTTGCACGCGGTGACGATGCGCAAAAATCGATAAGGAGGAAAATAGGTTGCGGCAAAGTCCCCGCGAGGCGTTTTAGGTCTAGACGTAGACGTAGGCGTTAGCGACTGAAGCGGCTAGACTGACGGGATCGAGCGGTTCAGAAGGCAGACCAGTCACGCCACTGAGATGGTGGAGCAATCATAGCGGCGCGTCCCTCGTGGTCGTTTGGGATTGGTTAGCGCATGCTCCTGAGTTAACGCCTTTGATGCTGGATTGCGCCATCAACGCTGTTGAGTCACTTGCACACAAACAAATCGTATTTCCAAGATAACGCCTTTGAGGGCAATTACGGAATAAAAACAGGTGTTGAGTAAGCGCTTTGTAAGTGAAATCGGAAGAGCATTAAATTGGCTCCAAACAACCACCACTAGAGAACTTCCATCAAAGTCGAAATTAGGAAACCGTCAGCGTGGCATCATCACACAAAAACACCTAGCTGATGGTGCAACATAGGCCTTGGTAGCCACAGTGATCCATGACAGAGAACACGATCACTTTATGAAAATGTCAACAGATGGGGTCAATTATTTCGGGATGGTTTTGTAGTAGCTGGAGCTGTGGCACTACCTTACAACCCTCTAGTTAAAAGCCCATAACAACCCAAGAATGGAGTGGAACAGGAGAGGCGACAGAGGACACGGCTGTTTACTAGCGTCATGCTTAGGCTAGTGTGTCTAAGTGTGTGGATGAGTGAACGGATGACGGGAGTCGGATAACAGTAACCAATGAAAAGGGGATGAGTAATTGGCAACGTCAGGCCAGTAAACAGTGCCTACTCAAGCGTGATCGCTGCTAATTCGAGTGTCTCATTCACCAGGGGATACCACACTAAGGCGCCACAAGAAATATCAACATCCTGGTTTGAAGTACGAGGCATAAAAACCACATTATTCTCCCTTAGAAAGACAAATTTTGAAAACACATGTACAACCTGACAAGATCAAACGGAATACGCAAAATTGGCTGATGATCGATGTTTTACACGGCTGAAACTCCAAGCAAACGCCGACACTCTTAAAAGCCACCTACTTTCGTATTCACCTGAGCCCAAAAACATTTACAGCTATAACGTTTTTTTCGACTTTACCATTTGCTAGCATTTAAAAAAGAGATGGAATGACTTCACCTCTATATTACTACAAATCGTGATCCAATTAGTATTCTTTATTTATTGTAGACAAGTGATAAAATCACGTTCGATGAGTTTTTCGTCGCACGCCAGCTCCTCACAGTAAGACGTCATCAATGTAAATAAAATGTCTACTCAAAAACATTAGTAGAACGTTAGTGAGACTCCCAAATGCATCGACTTCGAATCCTGATGGCTTGTGGTAAGTCATGTTAGTTCACGTTCAATACAGCTACTGACGTATATCTAGACGCTTAGAAGATCCCTGCCTGTCTCAGTTTACCTACTGGCTTCTAGCGTATCCTGATGAGTCACGCCTATCAACTCTACCACCTCAAACACAAACAACCACACCACACACACTCCATCACTCAGGCACCTTTACCTCAACGAGTTCACCTGAACGCCATTGGTCAGCCACCTGCATTTGTCATGCCACGCCTGGGCACTGCTGAGGCCAATTAGAATGGGTGACCACGAACCACCAACCAATAAACAGACGCGTCTCTCCCATCCCCGGCCTTCTCGTTCGCACGGTTTTTCATCGCGTGTACACCTCCTACCAACACCAACACTTTTCACCAACACCGCAACTGGGGAGGCACAGCGCATGGCATGACCTAGTTTTGTGACACACAAACATCAGCTGGATCAACACCCCAGGATTTAAAGAAAAAAAACAGAGGAAAAAAGCTGCGCAAGTAAAAAATAATTTGAGCGTATCTTCGTGTCAAGCGTGATGCAACACCAGTCTGACACGACAGAACCCCTAGGGCGTAATTTGAGATCGATATCGTGCGATGGGAATCAGCTGTGGGTGGGCAGAATGAGGACCCCCAGGCTAGTGGGCGCCGCTGCTGTCGGGCAGGGAATAGATGGTCACTGAGGTCAGGTAGCCGTTCTGGGGCAGCACCTGCAAGAGAGAGATGGGAGAGTGAGAGAAAGGGGGGGTTAGAACAGCAGGTGAGCGTGAGAACTGCGAGCGCATGCACTCAACCACGCTAGAGCGATATTAAAGGCGCACACAGACGGAAAGTACTGACCTCAAAGATCAGGTCGTGGTAGCAGTAGGCATTGGTGACGCCAAAGGGATTCTTGCGTGACTTCGTCTCTCGGTGAATTACAACTGGCTCGTCATCAATGACACCACGCAGAAGCGACTGCACCTTGAACGAAAAAAGAGAAGCAATGACAAAGAGACACCCAGACTACGGTGTGGTGTGGACAGACTGGGACTGTGTTCTGGACGCACGACCGATGCGTCTAGATGGAGAAGTGCTGAAGACGCGGTGGTTTGTGGTTGAGGCAGAGGACAATGAGAGCGTACCTTGACGAACGGCGTGACGACAACCGACTTGGGCTCGCCGTCGTCCGAGCGACCGGTGAGGGGGATTTCGAACATGCAACGGTAGTACCTACAAGAGAGGAGGAGGACAACGCGTAGCAACCACTCGAAGTCAGCGCCGTCTCAACCAAAAAACCGCGTGATCCAGACTGGCAGGAATGCAGGGACAACAGCTTACGTGTTGAAAGTGTATTCCCCGGGCTGGTTGGTGTGCAGGACGAAGCTGATCGCACGCTTCGTCCTGGCGTCGAAGAGGACATCCACGCCGAGAGAAAAGTAGTTGTAGAAGAAGTTGGAGTGCTTCTGCCGTGACTGACGGTAGGGCTGCGGCAAGTGAATCTTCATCTTGTCCTCTGTCTTGTAGAAGATGCGGCTTGGTGACCCCAAGGCGGAGAGAACGTCCTTGTCAAAGAGATAGACGTGTCAGATGAGCAATGACAATTAACAGTTTGACCTTATGGCGCTATGCGAGTACACTAGACATTAATGAGCGCAGCAGACCCGAGAACAAAGCAGAAAACAAAAGGCTTGTATTGGTGCAAAATGGAAGTTGTGAACTTCCACGAGAAAACCACTGGGGGTCCGACAGTCACTAGCGAAAGAAGGGAAGCAAAGTTGGTCAGACTCACCTGGACACTGTCTCCGAAGGCGACGGACGACGAGTAGCGTCGAACGGCCGGCTCAAGAGAGGGATTCGAGCACAATTCTATAACAGAGACCGTAAAGAATTAGCGGGGGAGGTAGACAAGCGGATCAATCAAAGCACAACCACAGTTCTGCGCTATAACAGAGGCACATAGAAAACAACAGGGCCTCAAATCGATGTGCTATCTGTGGTTGAGCGCAGACTCGTCTACACGCAACACTACCCCACCCTCTCGACTAGGCGCACAGAACGAAAGTGGCGCGAAAATCCTGAACAGTTGATTGGCCAAGACACTGATGCCTTTTGGCACTTGCCTTGGTAGACGAGATCGAAGCAGAGCTTGTCAGTGCGATCCTTCGAACGGGAGACAAGGAGGCGTTCTAAGAAGACGTTGCCATGGAAGCATCCTGCTGGAAGTTGCAGAGGAACCCTATAAAAAAGTAAAAAAAAAACATAATAAAAGGAAGACTCAGACACGAGGTCAAGTTTTGGCAAGTAAAACAATGCACGTGCACTCGGTTTCAACTAGTTTTACCAGAATGCGTAGTTGATAACTGAACACAATTTATTCCGTATCCGTGCATACGAATTAACTCTGATGCCACCGCATTTACACAGGTGGTAAAGTAGAGCGACGAAGCCACATGTGGTTGGATCCAAGGCTCAAATTTATGCGCGTGGAAGCCAAAGTACAGCAGAACCGAAAGTCATTTTGCTACTATAATCAGGCAACACGTTATAAAACGATCATTTAAACCGAAAAAATGCAGGCTGTTTTAATGGCTAACACTTTGTTCTGATAGTCTTATAATGCTAAAAAATGATTGGTCTGACTGTGCTGAGGTAGCAGCGACAGTTTTGGGGTTTTCACAAAACATTCTAAGGTGCTCACTTGGCCTCGGTAACATTTTGCCCAAGAAAAACGTAGATCCGCTTCACAATAAGTTGCTCCTCGGAGTTGGCCACCGACGCATCGGTGATTGAGGACGGCGCGCCTGTTGGAGGAAGTACGGCTACAGTGCTGTCTTTTTCATCAAGATTGAATTCCGAATCGCTGGAAAAAATGAAGGTGATTCCGCGGTAACAGAGGCGGAAAGTTCCTGGCTTATCATCGGGTACTAGAAGTGGGAAATTCAAAGAAAAGATTAGGACATGCGTTCTCATGTAATTACACAAAGATCCACTACAGATGGAGAACAGGCACTTAACATAAAAACACGAACTGTGATCATGAACAAGCCCCAATTTAAGTGGAATTGGTCTCCTCGCAGTAACATACACTATAGATGTGTAATCAAAGATGAAGTGAGAACCAATTGTTAACAAAATACTGAGAAAAATCAAATCGTCTCGTAAAACACAAGGACTGAACTCTCAATAGAAGCAAGTCAATTAGGTGAAAAATCCATAACACCCTAAAACAGAAATATAGAACGCGTCTGGTATCTAATAAATGTGTCAAGTCCGGCTATAGCATTTCATGCACCACTATAAAATTATCCCATTTCGTGGAGAAAATTGAACTGAATTTTAAAAGACTGTATCAACATAGGCCCATTAAAATTTAACAAAGCACAAGTGACTAATTGAAGAATTCATATTTCTAAAAGGTGACATCGAAAATACTGCCCAGACTCCAGATTCTGGTACAGCAATCTGGGGCAGACTAACAAATTTGTGAAGTGAAAGTAATTGGACACTAATTAACAGCACAATAACCAAATGCTAAAAAATTTTTTAATACGCTGTGAAAAATCCCATTACTTATTGCTCACAAAACAAACTGAGGAAGCTTACATAATTGCCTTGTGGAACCAAATGTGCGTATAATCGTAGGAAGATTCGGTGGTTGGTTGGGGAGGTTGAAATGCTGTGACAGGTACCGTAAGGATATTTTTGAAAGATCTGTAATTTCAATAAGCTATCAAGAGAACAGTTACTGAAATTGTAAAACCAACCATGAGTCTCTGCCACTTAGGATCAAAATGCAGTTTCATACCATCGTTAGGAAGATGAAGAAGCATGTTAAATTTGAAGGGAGACTACAAAATTAGAGTAATAGGAGCAACTCACAATTTCTGAATACCAAAAGTCGATGTTAGAAATATAAGCGTCGCATTTTTTGAATATTTCGAAGGCTTGCTGGATAGGCATTCCAAGAAACAACTCCCATGCATTACAACGTAAAGCCAGCTCTGGCAATATTTCAGCATCTATCATTTTTAGACTTTATTCAATTTTTCGGGACTTAATACGAAGACACCGCTCCTGTCCTTAATTGATTTAAACAAAAAGCTTATCAGTTAGGATTTTTGCAAGGCTTAACACTAAACTTATACAAAACCTATGCAGTCAATTTGTTTAAAATAGTTTTTTAAACTACTACGTTGATGGAGTATAGAAACATTAACCCCACTGTCAGATCAAATTAATAATGGCGGTGCCATTTAAGTAAGTAGTGAAGGGTTACATTTTAATTTTAAAAAAGTAGATACTTACGTTGATTTTTAATTTATTGCAAAAAACTTCAAAGGCAAAACAGCGTTAACACGCAAACACTATTCTCCAGTTTTCAAAATCGGAATCATGCAAATCAAAATGCAATTTAATTTAATAAATCACTGATTGTCTTGTAAACATGATACTTTATATAAAGAGTCTTTAAAATAAAAAAAATTGAACAAATGTTTAAAAGCCCATTTTTTGCATCCATCCAGGAATAGTTGTTTCAACTTATTTCAAATTCAGAAATACAACTTAGAGGTAATATTTTGTTTGCTCCGAAAGTTGATCAAATAACGAGATTAGCCCTTCGCACTTTCCCCAATTTTATCAAAAGTCAATTAACATTATGAATGCACAATAAACGGGGATTTAATTTGAAACCGATTTGATATTAATCTCAAATTTAGTTTTGAATTTCTTTGTAGTCTCCTTGATACTGAAAAGATGTGTCGCTTTCACCAACAGAAGCTTAAGAATTTTTCACTGTTATGTCAAGAGTAAGACTTTTGTTACAGTTTACCAGGAAACTCAGGCAAAAACTAGTGGCGTAAAAAATTATACTTTATTGTTAGCAAGTTAATGGCTTCCCTACACTAGCACTCAGATGTGCACTTATGATTCAGCGCCACTCCAACTAGTACACATTAGGCAGAAAATTTTACTGTCCTAATTGAAGGCCGAGTGCTCACTTATAAAAGAAGTGAGCGGCCTTGCTTAAATGTGGTTGATAATAAAAAGTAGCAAACGTTCAAGAGCCTGAAGAATTTAGTCCTGGCAAAGCTTAATCCCTAAGATTTTGGAACAAGAGACATCACCACATCAAACTTAACGCATTCAACAGATTCACGATTGCAAGTTTTAGACTACGTGACAGCGATCAACAGAAACAGACAAATGTGGCAGATTTCAGGTCAAAAGTGATGAACATAGGCAGAAACCATTGAACAAATAAATAAATGTTATAGTCTTAGAAATAAAGATAAAGTGACGACAAATAATGTATTCCACAAAACTTTTCCTACCGGAAGAAATTTATATTGACTTTTCCGGTTAATCTGGGGATGTGTCTACTGTCGGTGTGTGCAATTACTCCGTTGTAGGCCGATTAACACGTCTGCTATCATTTAACCTGTATCGCCTTTCCCAGTTAAGGCATATTTTTTTGATGCTGGCAGATTTTCGGTAGATTAGTTGCCTTTAAGCCTGGTCTTCAACGATGATTCTTTCGACACCTCAATAGTAGTGTCGCTACAGTCACTTTGCACTCCTACTTTGTTATAGCTTTTTTGAGTCAAAACAGAAAAGTGCTTAAATGACGAAAAGACGGCGTCAAAATAATCGTGTATTCTGTGGAAATGGAGGAAATAAACGGCCATATTGACTGATGTAATGTTTAGCTAAAAGTCAAAACATCAGAATATCGCGAATCGAAATGTTGCGCATTATTGGTTACACAGAAATTAAATCAACGAACTTGTAGACGTTCCACCAATGACCACCTTAAACGTTTTGAGAAGCCTCACGCATGAGAATCGGTCATTAAAAGACGTGAAAATTTGCCCAGCCCTTTTCCAAAAGTCACGATCTACCATGATTTTAAATCGACGAATGAGATTATACTTATTATAATGGATCCCTTCATGATTCGTGGATTTTGAGCGTACTCGAGTATCTCTAAATAAAGTGGAGCCCATGCTTCTACCGGCGGAAATTACAGACACCTAGACTGCACCCAGCACACGGCATAGCTTGTCGTGCACAATCTGCGACGACAGATTTGGGAGTGCCCCATTTGAAAAATGTCAACGGATGCCTTTTTTGTCAAGCTTTAAACGAAGCGCTCTTGAAAGTGGCCATGATCAGCTTAGTCTGGTAATTTGTCTGCCAAATCATGCACTATGTAGAGAATTCCTAGTATTGCAGGAGATGAGGTGCAGTTCTTTGTAAGAGTCATCGGTTTCTGGTACCCCACTAGTCAGTGGCATTTTCATGGATTTTTTGTGCATAATCTCTGACTATTTTGAACAGGTGTTCCCCACAATGCACAAAAATAAATAATTTGGTTTGACATCACCAGGGCGTCATCGGATGGTGTCCAGATGGCGTGTGGAATTCAAAGAAGGGCATTCCTGGAGTCTTGGCAGCACCAAAAATGGTACTCGATGAACCAGACAATTTGTTGGCTCAGTAGACGTCTGAAGACGATAAGCATTACCAAGCCAATGCCTGGACACCTGTAAATGGAAGCGTAAGAGTCTCACGATAATTTCTCAAAATACCAGACATCTGTCTACGGTACACTGTGCCGAGTAGAGTGCTAAATGTCTGCGCTACCTACTCTGCGGCGCAGTGTATGACATAAATGGTGGTGGTGATGACGACATCCTTTTTGATGGTCGGCAATATACTGATGACTTGTGATAGTGTATCAGTCTAACAATAGACAATGCCTCATTTAAGTGCCTATTTCTGGAGACAGTTTGCAAAGTGTGTTGGTGAGTTGGCTTAGAAGTAAAAAAAAATTACATCAACGTTACTGAGCCCATGTGAACCGTTTACCTTAAACACCAAAGCAAGAAATTCTGTCTCGGGGAGGTTCAAGATGGTTTTGTAGAATAATGCACACCTGTAAGGTTTAACTCAGTAGTTATGCATTAATACGAGCCTAAGAGCGTTAAACCGGGAAAGGACTGTGGTTTATTTAGGTTCCTTCTGGTGACTGTACAGAAGGGAACCAATAGTTGGTGTGAGGCGCTTTCTCCAACATTGGCTGTGAATTGCCCTTCAATCAAGAACACCACATGTTCCTGCTGAACCGGTGTGTCTAAAATTATCCGTTATGCTTTGTCCATGACCAGAACCACACCCTTAGAGAACCAGTTTCTAAACGTTAGTCATTACCTTCCGATTCGAGACAAAGGCAATGCCTGATGCGGAGAGGTTTTATTGCCTCAGCCAAAGGCCAAGTAGCCTGTCAGAATGTTCCCTCGGATATAAGCAATACGTGGCTTTGACCTGATGGATCAAGATGGAACTGTCAGAAAGGTGTCGTGGTTGGAGAGAGTTGCGTAAACAATGACGACACCGTAATAATCGATGAGTCGTGTTTGGGGAATTCTCGGTTTCCCCAGCAGTCTGAATGGTCTCCTTGAAGGAAGAAATCCAGTATGTCAAGTGGACGATGCGGTCTGCATACCTGCCCAACTCCGCCAGATTAGAATTGTGGGGCAGAATTCTAACCTTACACATCAGGAATGCTGCGCCGTTGTCGCGCTAGCAGACAAACCCCGCTCGTCTACTTGTACTACCAGCCACTGACGGTGCACTGGTTGAATGAGTACTGGCATCTGACATCGACACCGGCCTTTCAAATAACTGTTCTGGTCGTTTCCCGTGGAAAGACAAAGTGTAGAATACCCGAGCCCAAGTAGGCAGGAGGCTGGTACAATAGAACAGGTTTTATTGATCAACCACAAGCCGGAAGCGTACTTTAGGAGCCGTCCATCATGTACTGCTCTCATGCGCATCTGTCTTTGGATGGCTGTGTATCTTCCTCCCAGATCATTCAAACGCAAGGAGACAGAGAATCGGCTAAGGTCGACGTGGCCAAATATGTCTGCGCCCTTGTACGTACCTACAGAAGACATGACCTCATGGCGAGAACATTAACCGTCTCTGAAAAACTACAAGTGAGCACATTCAAATCGCCTACTTGCGCTTGATTTCAGTGACTTGGTAACGGTCGCTTACGACAAATGGCACGGTAAATGCATGAACATGTAATGAACGAACAGAGAAAAAAGTGGAAAGAATGCAAATTTTGTAGTGTACGAAAGTCTGTTTTCCCAAGAACCAGGAGCCATTGTAGCGCGACGCAATCTTTTTCGATCCAAATGGTAGTTGAATGCTCAGTATATTTGCAATCTCTACGTAACCAAACAGATGGACAAGCCGAGGCGAATGCGAAGGATACGATTGAAGGTTTTGTTGTGTCTGTTGCGCGACATGCTGCCATAACGAATGTCAATGACGCTCTTCCGATCAACTCGATTTGGAGATTTTGACGTTGATTTGGGCTAGTCGCTTGCAATACTTCTTTGGAGTTATTTCTTGGCCACTGGTAATATTACTTCTCTGTAATGGCTTTCCTGACAAGTAACAACGCTTTGATTGGATGCGTAAATTCGGTTTTTACTACAGATTCTTGTCTTTCTGTTCCATGTTTCCTGCCTGTTTTCCGTATATGGACCTGATTTCATGCCTTGTTATGAATTGACCCTTCGAAGGCTGGTTTTGTCGACGAACAAGGGGAGGAGTGACTGTGGAAACACGATTATCTTTCCAGAACGCAGAAATCTTGTCTGGCTGTATGCGGCGAAATTCAGTCTAAATCACTGAACCACAAGTGAAAGCCTCATCAATGTATCGTTTTGATTGATGTCACCAGTTTAAAACAGTCTGAACCGTTTTAAAGTCTCCTAGGAGAATGACTACGATCCAACTAAACTTCATTAATATTTAACCGTTATACTCCCCGTACACCTCTGTTTTTTAAACTCATATAACAAAACATAACGAAATAAAACCTATCATTTATCGTGTTTATTACTAACGCGTCAAAAAAATCAATACTAATAAACAATTTCCGTAAGTTCATGGTGACCAGCAAGGCGTTTAAATAATTGTTAGTTAATATATTGATGATGAGAGAAACG